TTTCCTGGCTTCTGCTTGACTTTGGGGTGACTGGGGCTTCCACTCGATCCTATCGCTTTTGGAAGCAACTCCAGTTTGTAATAGAATGGAGGCAGGCAAGCACAGGGAATAGCTTGGCACCTGGGATTTCGCTTGGCTTGGACTATGTGCTCAAGCCTCTTTTAAAGCATGTGCTTGGTAACCCAAGACCATACCTGCATTGAGCTGCACATTCATCCGGCTCTAAGCAGTAGAATGTATTTACCTCCTAACGATCATCAATAACTCCCCGTTTATGTCCCAGTGAGATGGCTCAGCAGCTGAAGTTGTTTGCCACCAAGGCTGACAACCTGAGTTTGATCCCAGGACCTACATGGTAGGAGAAAGCTGACTTCTGAAAGCTTCTCTCTGACTTCCATATGCACACTGGAATGTGCGCACACACACACACACACACATACACACACACACACACACACACCAAGAAAAACAACAACAACACACATACACAGAAAAATATTCCTTTTGTGAATAGTTTCTATTCAAATATATGCCTAGATATATCCGATACTAGACAGATGCAGACGTGATGGTCTTTGGGTCCATGCTTAGTATGACAAACTGTGTCCTCTGGTAAAAGCCCCGATTACCATTTTCTGCTTGAGTGTAATTGGGCGTGCATATGGTTAAAATCAGATGCATGATGGGAAGGGACAAGCATCAGGAAAAGGTTACAGAACCTAAACCTGTCAATCAACATAGAGAATCGGTCTTGATAAGCCCCCTAGAAACCAGCTCGTCTTTCCCTTGGACAGCATAAAGAGCATCCCTAAACAATAACCAGGGCCCTTCAATATTCTCTCACTGGGGCAGCCAGCAGCTCACTTGCAGCAAAGCTACCTATCCTGTCCCTTTGTCCTTGAAGAAAGGTTCTTCGCTGCTTTGCAATTGCTGTGCGTCTTTATTTCAGTTCCTGGAACAAGATGCCAAGAACCTAAAAACACCTGGTCTAGACACTGACATTTTACATGTCGGAACAGCAGGCTGAGAGCTTGGCTGGGGCTCTCCCTGGGCCTTTGGTGGCGGCAGAGCCTCTGTGGAGTGGGGATCAGCAGCTGGGTGGGTCTCTGCAGCCACAGGCATGTGTGCCACCCTGGCAGTTTGGGCTCCTGAGGACCAGTGCCCTTAGCCAGGTCCTTCCAAGGATCTTGGAGGATGTCTGCCCAGTTATTTGTCAGGTATATCCCAGCAGGGCAAAGATGCCAGCATGGGAGAGCCACAATTGGATGTGAACGCCCAGCCTGTCTGGGGAATAGTGAAGTGGCCACCCCACTGGTCCAGATGGTCCAGCAGGGCAGTCAGCCCAGCATCCTCTGGCCCATGTGCTCTCCAACAGGATGGGTTGTGCAGCCACCGTCGGATGTTCTGGTCTAGATGAACTTTGGGTTTCTGCACAGCCCAAGGTGTGGGGTATTACATCACTTGGTTGACCAGGAAGCCTCATTTTTTTTTTCTATTTTTAAGACATGGTCTCACTTGGTTACCCAGGCTTATATCAAGCTCCATGTTTAAGCAATCCTCTTCTCCCAAGGCCAGGATGACAGCTAGAGCTTCTGCCCATCTGATTTCTGATCTGGGGGTGACCTAGGCCCCCAGATACCTTTTCACCCAGAAGAATGTATTGGCTATTTTTCCTGTTTCTGTGGCAAGATGTCCTAAGAAATTCAACTTAAGGAAGAGGTAGGGTGTATTGGTTCATAACTTGGGACAGGGAAGCCATGGCAGCGGGAGTTCTGGGTGGCTGGTCGTATTGCATCGACAGTCAGGAAACAGCAATGAAATGCTACTTTCCAGCTCTGTTCCTCTGTTTTACTCAGTCCTGGACCCCAGTCCAGGTGGCTGCCCACATTTAGGGTGAGTCTCACCACCTCAATTACCCTAATCAAGGTAACCCCTCCAGGCATGCTCAGAGCTGACCTAAGCTAGACAGTTCCTCACAGGTGTGCCTGGAGGCCTGCCTCCAAGTAGACTCCTCTCAAGTTGACCATCAGTGTTAGCCATGACAGAGAGTGGCTCAGCCTGTTGCCACTCCACGTGTGTCCATGCTGGGGCATCAGGCAGTCAGGGGACATGTGCTCCTTGTCTGAGACATGAGCCAGGTGTCTGGATGTAGAACTTGGACTCAGCAAGTCACCACAATGAGCAGCCCTGGGGCAGGCCCTTGCAGAGCCCAAACCTGTGCTAAGCCACCGCAACCCTAGGTGTGCTTGTCACTGTGTTCTCATCTCCCCTGACCAACACAGAAGGTACTGAGCAAACAAGCATCCACGTAGCCCTCACTGCGTTCCTTTCTCGTCTGTGACAGGAGCTTGAAGGCCTCAGCTTTACTGAGGGGCCGGGGAGACGGAGCCTCTGGAAGCCACCATAGTGGACATGCAAGAGGACAGGACATCAAGCCCAGTTCCAATCAATTCTCAGATGTTTCCTTCTAACCAGGATCCCTGTGAGCCCGGCCCATGGCATAGTGTAAGATAGTTCTGGGCGATATGCAAATGAGGCAGCTGAGATGTAACTAGTCTGAATTTATATGAATAGAGTAAACATACAAACCACGCCTCAAACCAGCTATTTCACGGCTGTTATTTTATTAGGAGGAGGGAGTTCTAAAATACAAATTGTTTCAGAGTTATCGAGGTGGGAGGTGGAGGAATTAGAGAAGTTGTATACGCTGGGAGGTGACTCAGTGGGTAAAGCACTTGACATGCAGACATGAAGACCTGAGCCCGTGTATGGACATATAAAAGCTGGACATAGTGATGGGTGCCTGTAACCCCAGGACTAGGTATGAGATGCAGAGATGGGCAGACCCCCTAGATGCATGGGTGAGCCAGCCTAGCTGCATTGGTGAGCTCCAGGTTCACTGGGAGACCCTGTGTCTTAGTCACTAATCTATTGCTGTGACGAGACACTATGATCAAGGAAAATCCTAAGAGGAAAGTATTTAATTGGGGAATTGTTCACAGCTTCTGTTTTAGTCCACCGTCATCATGGTGGGGATGGGTTGAAGAAGTAGTTGAGAACTATATCCTGATCTGCAGGCAGAGAAAGGAGAGAAAAGAGAGGAGAGAGAGAGAGAGAGAGAGAGAGAGAGAGAGAGAGAGATATTAGGACTTGTGGGCTTTTGAAACCTCAAAGTCCATCCTCAATGACACATTTCCCCCAACAAGGCCACACCTACTCCAACAAGGCCACACCTCCTAATCCTTCTAATCCCTTTACACAGTTCCACTCCCTGGAAGCATTCAACTAACCTACGGCGGCCATTCTTATTCAAACCACCACACACAATCTCAGAAACTAAGGTGGAGCATGATAGAGGAAGGACACCTCATGCTGAATTCAATCTTCCACACACACATACATGCACATATGATACACACAAACACATGTAAACATGCACACACAGAGTAGAGCTCACCCTTCTGAGCTCAGCACCTGGAAAGCTGAGGCAGGGGGATCTGTGAGCTGGAGGTCATTCTGCACTAGAGGGCGAGACTCTGTCTCAAAACATTAGGAAAAAAGTAATGAAGTTTTATTTTGGGATTGAGTAATAATACAGTCAGTGATGGGCAGTGGGCGCAGGCAGGGCAGGCTTCCTGGGCTGAGACAGGAGTCAGTCGTCTGTTGGAGGAACGTGCTGGGCCTGCGTGTGAGCACTGGAGAAGGAGTCCTGAGTCGTACGTTGGCAGTGGCAAGCACTCTACTCCCTGAGCCACCCTGGGCACCTTAGATTTCTGGGAGGCTGTCGGGTATGAGAATGGAGCACACAGAGCTCCTGGTTTTGAGGCCAGGGAAAATGTTTCACATTTTCAAAACACAAATATTTCTTTTTCTGTCCTCAATGTATAGGTTGAACTTCCAGGTGCCCCCAGCTGTTGGCCCCATGCTGGAATGTGAAAGCCGTCCTTCTCTCTGCGACCCTTGCCATTCCTGAAAGCCTACCTGGGGCATATTTTGGGACTCTGTTAACTAGGGGAGCGACACAGAGAAGGCGCTTGTGCTGCTTCTGGGGGCACAGACCGGCCATTCAGAAGAAGCTGAAAGGGCGGCTTCATGGGCCCAGCTGGGCCCAGCAACAGGCTCTGTCCCCTGAGCCGCAGGATGAGTGCTGGCTCAAACTCTCCCTGTCCACCCTGCCAAGAGCCCGAGCATGCACCTTTCACTGAGGCCACCATCGCTGTCACCATTGTGACCCAGATGGGACCCCACTCATTACCACATTAGTTAACAAACTTCTTTGTTTATCATTGTCCCTGGGCCTCAGGGATGGGAAAGGGACTAAGCCAAAAAGGACCCCCATGCCGGGGTGGCGAGGACAGCCACACAGCACAGTTTGGGAGATGGGATATCTGCTGCAGTTTCTGGGGACTGTGCAGACCCCCCCTCCCAGGATTGGAAGGGAGGTGTCAGCAGCGCAGAGACCTCTGGGTTGGCAGAGGTGCAGAGGGCTGAGAACTGGGGTTCAGATGAAACCCAAATGGGGAGAAGGCAAAGAGAACAAGTGTGGAAAAGCGTGGTTGTCATGACAGCGTGAGGGATGATGCCATGGTTGCTGAAGATGCAGCCGTGGACTAGGTCACCTGCGTCTGGGGATCTTCTTTGAAACCAGTGAAGTGCAGCAGTGGTACTCCCCTGCCTCATCTTCCTTCTCCTGTCTTCTCATTGCCTCCCCCATGTGATCCTGCATGGCTGGCTCAGATAATGCCTCAGTCTGTCTAGCTAGCTCTGGCAGATGGCACTGGCACTGTCCCCACTCCCAGAAGAGGCATGAGGCACAGAGGGGTGCAGCAAGTTGCTGGAGGTCACACCAGCAGATGCTCTGGCTCCCATATCTGCCTTTAGCCATTATCCCCTCCCCACCACCCCGTGCGCTGCCTTGCACACGCTAAGTATAGCCATGCTAGTCACAGTCTGGGAGAACTATGCTGGGATGAAGTTAGCGAGAAGGAAGTGCTGGGAAGATGGCCCTGCTCCGTCCAGCCGGCAGCCTCTGGGGAGAACTGGCACAGCTGGAGAAGAAGGTGTGCGCACTGAGGAGACTAGGGAGCAGGTTGAGCAAGGAAACCGGGTTTGGGATTGTGGGTGGGGAGGACTTAGGTAGGAATGAGGGGCAGTGCAGGGCAAGGGCTTGAGTGTCCCTGGGTGGTAGGTCCAAGTCAGCAGGGCTCTGGCCAAAGCGGCCTCCCCCACCCACCTGAGATTTCCTGAATTCCAGCTGTGGCTTGAGCTGCTTCTGTAGGCAAAGGGGCTCTTGTGGCCAACTGCTTCCACCCTCCCTTTCCAGGGACACACACCTCCATTCAGCCTGGCCCCGCCCCCGGGGGTTGGGGCAGGGGTGCTGTCCCCTGCCCAGTGGGTTGATAAGACCAGTCCCTCTGGCCCCTCCGGTGTGACACTGCTGTCCCTGTTGCCACCAACCATGAAGGTCCCCACTGGCCCAGTCTTTGCGCTCTGTAGCCTGCTGCTGCTGCTGTTGCTGCTACAGGTCCCTGGTAGCCATGGCCTCGTCCCTCAGCCCAGAGGTAAGGGGACCATGGATAATGGGGATGCTGGCTCCATGGCTCCTGACAAATGATGTGAGAAGCAGGGCACAGATACAGATGGAGGCTAAATGGGAATCAGGGTTTGGGGGGTGTCAGTGAGGGCTGGGGCAGGTGACCCTCAGGGCCACACATGCTGCAGGGACCAGGGACCTCCAAAGAGCCAGCCAGAGTTGGGAGCAGTGTTGGGCTCAGGGCTCTGTGAGGGCAGATTTGGAGACCGGGTGTCTGTTCAGCTTCCATCCGTCCTTCTGGAGCTGTGCAGTGCTCTGGCAGCTCTCAGGTGCTCAGCCGTTCCAGTACAGATGGGGAAACTGAGGCTGTAGGAGGAGGACCTGCCTCAGCTTGGCCTGTGAGATAGCCCCAGAGCCACTAGGGATCAGGTCCACTAGGAGGCTGGGATAAGGCTAACTCTGTGTCTCTGGACCCCTGTCCACCCATTTGGAGGCTGAGCTGGCAGGCAGCAGGCTGTCATTCGTGAAGAACCTTGACACATCTTTTGTGTTCTGGTCCCTTGTGTCCTTAGGGAATGGACTTGTTTCTGTGCGGCGGGGGCTGGGCAGGGCAGTGTGTCACAGAGCCCATTTCGGCTGCAGAGCTAAGACATCTGGTCCTCAGCTTCGTCTCCCTCTGCACAGATGGGAAATGAAGTTCAAAAAATGCTGCCCCTGCCCCGGGGTCACAGAGCAGCTGAACCGGGGACTGAACACAGGCCCGCCTCCTTCCACCGCTGGCACTCGTGGTCACACTGGTGCTGCCTTGGGGTCTGGAGGGAGAATGTTCCTGGGGGTGTCTTGGGGCCACCTGGCCAAGATGGCAAGGTGCCCCTAGGAATCGCTGCTCCTTCCATTCCATGGGAGCGAAGTGTCTCTAAATTTGTTGATGAAAATGGGCTGTGCGGATGGGTACCGTGTTGGCTCTTACGGCCGTGCCCACCCAGGAGGCCGCTCATTGTTCTCCTGCCTAACGTTCTGCCAGCAAGTCCCGCTGGCCTCCATGCATCTTTGCTTGTTTTCGGAGCATTCCACAAAGGGGTGCCATCAGCCCGCTGCTCAGATGAGGAAGGCTCAAGAGGGAATGCGTGGCCCAAGATGAGAGGGGTCTCCCGTCTTTCTCCCCAGGGGCTGAGCTGCGTGCCCGAGACTACACATTGAGTTGAGGATCTAGCGGGACCACTGAGGCCCACTCTGACCTCTCTGGAGTCCGAGGCTACTCCTCTAATATCTGTTCCGTCTCTCTGCTTTCTCTCCCCCTCCACCCCTCCCAGGGCACCTCTGCCGGACACGCCCCACGGACCTTGTGTTTGTCGTTGATAGTTCCCGCAGCGTGAGACCCGTGGAGTTTGAGAAGGTGAAGGTGTTCCTGTCTCAGGTCATCGAGTCACTGGATGTGGGGCCCAATGCCACCCGAGTTGGCTTGATTAACTATGCTAGCACCGTCAAGCCTGAGTTCCCACTTCGGGCCCACGGCTCCAAGGCTTCGCTGCTGCAAGCTGTGCGCCGCATCCAGCCGCTGTCCACTGGCACCATGACTGGCCTGGCCCTGCAATACGCCATCACCAAGGCCTTGAGTGATGCCGAAGGTGGGCGTACCAAATCCCCCGACATCAGCAAGGTACGGAGCATTGGCTGATTGGAGTAGGATTCAGGGTTGATGCCATAGAGTTCTCCAGGCCTCTCTGTTCAGAATGTTGCCTGGCGTCTTCCCACGGGGTAGCTATTTCAGGGATGGAAGGCCATTACAAACACTACCCCATGTAAGTGGCAGAGCTTCTCCGCCGAAGTGGCAGGGTTAGGAATCTTCTTTGAAGTGGAGAAAGGAAGGCCAGGTGGGGACAGTAAGGACTCAGCACCCTTGATGCCCCACTGCCACTCGGGATACGCTACTTTTAAGCACAGTTTCTCAGTTTCCCACCTATGGAATGGAGTACTGTTAACCTTTCTTGCAGCTTGGCTCAACAAGGTGCCTGGTACCCAGCATGCCCTACATGGCACCTGTGTACTTTGTCAGCCTGTGCTTGGGAAGGTGAGACAGTCCCTAGTCACCATCACAGAGGGCCCCAGGCGTGATCACAGAGGACACACAGGCTTTCTGCCCACATTGCCCTTTCTCTGAGTTTGTTCCCATGCCCGCTTTTGTTGGCTTGAGAAGCCACCATTTCCCTGCCCTGGGCCCCTTCCTCACTCTCTGTAGCCCACCTTCTTGCTCACTGTAGACCAGTTCCTGATGTTGATAGCTCCATTGTATAGGCAGGGAAAACGGTACAGAAAGATCCAGTAGTGTGTCCAAATTCTCAGCGGCAGGAGTGTTCAGGGACTGTGACACACAATCCCAGCCATCCCCAGTCCCCAGAGAAGTGACACCAGACGCTGGTGGGCTACTTCGTGATACTGCTCTAATGATTTATCACGAGGTACAGGAGCTGGGGCTGACGGCCTTGCTTAGAGGCTGGGGTAGCTCCAGTGGATGCTGATGGAGAGAGAGGTGACCCGTGCTATCTGCAGCCTGCAGATCTCTAGTTAACCAGTTCCCTAGACCAGACTGGTGGCCTCAGAGGGCTGATGGTCACAGGGGGGCTGCTGGGGGTGGACACCTGGTGGGACCTTTAGAAGTCTCAAGGTTGGGTAGAAGCTAGAAACCACAGGGGTTGGGTGGAGTGTGACACCTCAGAGTCACAGCTAGGTCCCTGAGGGGGGGAATGTGCAGAATCACTTCCCAGGGGACGATGTGATGGTTCTGAAATAGCGGTTGATCCTTTGGGGGCTTCTGCAGGTGACTCATCTCACTCCCTGTGGCCCCATGCCTTTCACAGAGGCAGAGACCCCTGGTAAACAAAGAGGGATGCAGGGAAGGAGCCCCATTTCTGACCCAGACCTGCCTTAACTACTTCACAGTCAGGCAACAGGACACTGCCAGGCTTGGAGCCCCTCTTCTTAAGGCACCAAGCAAGGGCATGGGGGAGGGGAGCAGTCGGCAGGCTCTTCTTCCTGTAAGGGTTAGGTGTCATCCTGGGTAGGATGGACAAAAGGGCATTTTTCCTTTAGTGGGCTGGTTCTCTGGATTTGGGAGGTTGATCTTCCTTTGGGCCCAAAGCAACACATATATCCTGGAGGCGCCCCATCTTCATTTATGAGACTCGGCTTCCCTCTGGTGGTCATTATGGAGAACTGCAAAAGGTTAGTTTCTTGCCTGGACATTTTCTCCCACGCTGACCACGGGGACCTCAGGGAGACCAGAAGCCACAGTCACCAGGGCGTGGTTCTCTGCATCTGGAGGCCCCAGAAGGCTTGAGTGTGAGGAAGACACACGGCGGTGTTTTCAAAGTTCCTATTTATTCTCAGGAGGTGGGACCCCAGGACCCACAGCTTTCTGCCTGATGGAGGAGGCTCCAGAGACTGGAGTCAGAAGGGAGACACCCCAGCCCTCATCTCCCACAGTCAGAAAATGTCTGTAGCCTTCATGGCTAGTGGGATCTCTTTTCTGATGTGTGAGTGTGTGTGCGCGCGTGCGCGCGCATGCTGGCTGCCACCGGTTCTGTGCCCCTGGGCGAATTCCGGTGCCTTTCAGACTCTTGTCTTGAGGGTTTGTTGGAGCCGGTCCTCATATGCCCCTGCGTGCAGGTTGTCATCGTGGTGACTGATGGGAGACCCCAGGACAGCGTGCGGGACGTGTCTGCACGCGCGCGGGCCAGCGGCATCGAGCTGTTCGCTATCGGCGTGGGCCGCGTGGACAAGGCCACGCTGCGACAGATCGCCAGCGAGCCGCAGGAAGAGCACGTGGATTACGTGGAGAGCTACAATGTCATGGAGAAGCTGTCTAAGAAGTTCCAGGAGGCCCTCTGTGGTGCGCGTCCGGGAGGGGCGGGGCCGAGCAGGTCTGGGGGCGGGGCCTGGACAGAGGTTGGTTTGAAGAAGGGTTAAGAGTCAACACGGGTTGACTAACTCTGGGGACCATGGGACAGAATGAAGTCGATCTCAGAGCCCGGCCTGGGATGGTGGAGATGGAGCAAGAGTGGGGACGGAATAAACGCGGGAGGGCGGGTCTGGGGGCCGAGCACAGTAGCAGTGCCGAGTGGGCGTTGGGAGGGGCTAGTCCTAGGGGTGGGACTGGGGCAGGGTGACAGGCTAGGGACTAGAGAGATCAAAGAGACAGGCTGGGTTGTGTTAAGGACTGTTAGCACCAGTATCAGGGTGAGGCTTAGGGTAAGGCCTCCATGACTTAAGAGTGGAACCCAGAAGAGGTTGAGGCGGGGTAGTACATCCAGGCTTGACCAATAATGGGGGGAGGGGTCTAGATTTTAGAAATACCCCAGCCTGAAGTTCAAGACCCTTTTTATAGGATGACTTTACAGGGACCAAGGATGGGCTTGAACCCATTCGGGGAGAATTTAAAAAAACAAAACAACAAAACCAAACCAAACCCAACCTACCAGGTAGATCTCAGCACCAAAGGTTTCCATGATGCAGGAGGGCCCAGGGGCCTGGGAAGGTTTGGAGTCCTTTGTGGAGGGGAATGAGGATTTCTTGGGGATGTGACTAGTCACAAGGTGCAGAGTTGGACCAGGGATGAGGCTGGGCCTCACTCTTCCCCATGTAGGTAATGGGGCTCAGAGCCCGTTCCTTACTGTGAGGATTGAGTGGGTCACGCAAGGCACAGCACTAGCTCCCAGCTTGCAACAGCCTTTTTATCATGGGATTTGTGTGTTCTGTGCTTATTGCCATGTGAGTTGTAGAGACTCAGCTACAGGAGTGGGTAGAACATGCAAGAGGCCCTGCCCCCATGGCCTCTACCGTTGCAGGGGGCTTTGATTTCCACTAGCGGCATTATCCCTTTCTTTGGGGACCCTGGCTCTGGCTAAGCAATGCCACCCTGGGTTGATAGTGTGGGAACGGGGCTCTATCCCGTTTGGGTTGCGTGAGTCTCAGTTTCCTTGTATGTGCCGGGGTTGGGTCTTCATGGACAGGGAGGTGCATTTCGGCTGAGATGAGCAAGCATTTGTGAGTGTGATATCTGGCCTTCCCTTGTCTTCCCAGTGGTGTCAGACCTGTGTGCCACAGGGGACCATGACTGTGAGCAGGTGTGTGTCAGTTCTCCAGGCTCCTACACCTGTGCCTGCCACGAGGGCTTCACCCTTAACAGTGATGGAAAGACCTGCAATGGTCAGTGGATGGACCTGGGAAAACCCTGGGGAGGGAGGTGGGAGATGGTCCTGGATGCTTCCAAGGACACCCATCCGAGACATTGTGTTCTCTGCTTCTGGACCGATCTGCAAAGTAGGCAGATGCTTTCTAGAGCCTCTTAACAGTGGGAGGTTCCCTCCCGACTTCTGACTCCCTCCATTGCACTAGGTACGGTGTGTTGTTGAGGTAGGGCGAGGCAGAGATCCTGAGCTGATGTCTTGGTGCCACCAGTTTGAGCTGTGTGACTCCCCAGCTGCTTGCAATGCCATAAAATGCTGCCAGGAATTCTGGCTTTGTAGAGGGAAGCCTGAGACACAAAGAGGGTGACTCCCGAGTCCAGAGCTTGCGCACAGTTGAGTGCCCAGGTGAAGGTGGCAATGGGTGACCGTGTCCTCAAGCATCACCCTCCTGTCACTGTGCTCTCCTCAGTCTGCAGTGGCGGTGGGAGTGGCTCAGCCACCGACCTGGTCTTCCTCATTGATGGATCCAAGAGTGTGCGGCCTGAGAACTTTGAGCTGGTGAAGAAGTTCATCAACCAGATTGTGGACACCCTGGATGTGTCAGACAGGCTGGCCCAGGTCGGGCTGGTGCAGTACTCAAGCTCAATACGCCAGGAGTTCCCGCTTGGCCGCTTCCACACCAAGAAGGACATCAAGGCGGCTGTGAGGAACATGTCCTACATGGAGAAGGGCACCATGACTGGCGCTGCCCTGAAGTATCTCATAGATAATTCCTTCACTGTGTCCAGCGGGGCAAGGCCTGGCGCCCAGAAGGTGGGCATTGTCTTCACTGATGGCCGGAGCCAGGACTATATTAATGACGCTGCCAGGAAGGCCAAGGAGCTCGGTAAGTGTTTCCTGCCTGCCTTCTGGACCCCACTGATGGCCAGGGACACCCATAGGCACAGTTCTACTGTAGCTTGCTCTATGACTTCCAATAAACGTTTAAGCCTAGATTACTTCAAATAGGGAGGTGTTTGCTAGATCAATTCTCTCTTATACCAATGACAAAACTGAGGCTCTGGAGGACCGGGCAGCTTGTTCTAGGTCCTTTTGTTGCTGAGACTTTCAACCTTTCCAGCTGTAATGATATCAACAATAACCTGGAAAGGAGTATAACAAAGGTTTATTTATTTGGGGGTAAACTCATAGTAAGGATAGCCATCCACAGTCCTCTGCATGAGCTGGGAACTGGAACCGAATCCAGCAGAAAAAGCGGTTGCACACGATTTTTATCTATTCATATAGTACATGAGTCCACACCCAAAGTGGGCTGGTATCTTAAAGGCTATTGGCTGAAGGAGTTCCCACAACAACCAGCAGAATGTTGATTCCCAAGAATGCACCAACTGTTGGGAAACAACCCCACTTTAAGACAGGTTATACCATTTTTACCAAATGAGGAAAATACAAACCATCAGACAGATGTTTTGAGGGTCAGATGACACTCGCAGTACAAGCATCACCGAACACATAGCCGACCCTCAGCCAACATGGCAGATCTATTTGTTCTTGGTACAGGCACTGTGCCTGCAATTCCAGCAGCTGCCACCAGGAAGTGTCTTGCGCAGGCAGTCTAGGCATTCCCCAGGAGACTCACCCATCTCTCAGCCTGCCCGCCCTGGAGGCCAGCCTTCTGTGTTTGGTTCCTCTGACAGGCTTTAAGATGTTTGCGGTGGGCGTGGGCAACGCCGTGGAGGAGGAGCTGAGGGAGATCGCGTCTGAGCCGGTGGCCGACCACTACTTCTACACAGCCGACTTCAAGACCATCAATCAGATCGGCAAGAAGTTGCAGAAGAAAATCTGTGTGGGTGAGCGAGCCCAGGGGCTGTCAAAGGGAGCGGCTCTGTGGGGAATAGAGCCACCCGGGGTCCGAGTGTGGCCTGGGCAAAGCAAAGTGGCACAGTGGTGGTAACACCAGCACTGGGCTGGATAACTCAGTACCAGCCGAGACATGCTAACCCCCCTCCCCCGCAGCTTTGACTAGCGCTGTCCTCAGTGGCCTGCACGTTCTGTCATTTGCCCCATTTGGTAGGAAGATCATGGTCCTATTTTGTAGCCAGGAAAGCAAAGGCTGGAGGGCTGGGACCACTGTTGATTGTTGGAGCCAGGGGTGAACCCTGTTGCCTTCCTGGCTCTACTGATGTCTTGGCCCATGGTCTGATCTTTGTGGTAAAAAGTCTGGGCTCCTGGGTAATAGAGAGACCTTAGTTGATAATGTTACAGCTTTGCGAGCATGAAGACCTGCATTCTATCCCTCCAGCCCATCTCAGAAATCAAGAAAAAACAGCCAGAGGGCTGGAGACAGGACTCAGTGCTTAAGAGCACTGGCTGCTCTTTCTGGAGGACCCGACTTTGACTCCCAGCCCCCATATGGTAGCGCACAACTGTCTGTAACTACAGTTCCAGTGGGTCTGACACCCGCTTCTGTCCTCCCAGATTCCACTCCCCCTCATCCCCAAATCTCCCATGTGTCAGCCCCAGCAGTGACGGACCCCTGTCCCTTCCACCACTAAGCAGTGTTTTTCCCTCCCTCTCTTCTCTGCCACAGAGGAAGACCCGTGTGCTTGTGAGTCCATAGTGAGATTTGAGGCCAAGGTGGAGGATCTGCTGCAGGCCCTAACCAGGAAGCATATCCTTGCTCAGGCTGTGGAGGGCAGGGGTGAGGAGGGCCGGAGAAGCACAGAGGGCCAGGATACCTGGGCATGACCACAGAGGGTCTGGCTTTAGGTATAGGCTTGGGGCAGCCCCCTCCTGCTAAGGCCTGGCGGCTGGCTAGCAAGGCTGGCACCTGCCTCGTAATGAACCTTCTCAAACTCAATAGCTCCCATATGGCAGGGAAACTGAGGCAGAAACCAACTTAAAAAGATGGGACACAGATGGAATCTGGACCTGCTCCCCAAATGTGGAGCTCATGGGCTCCTTTCTCAGGCACCTGGTGACATGGCAAACCTCAGAGGTGGACCCAGCCCTGACAGTTCACCAGTCTCAGGAATTCCCCAGGACTGAGCACTCCTGGGCTTTGGTGGAGGGGGAGGGAGTGAGAGAAAGTCCTGGATGTCGCTCCTAGGGGAATCCAGAAGTGGGGTCAGGTCATTACTCCCAGCTCTGACCACCCGCTCCTGCCCTTAACTCCAAGTCCACTGGAAGCTCTGAGCAAGCGGCTGGCTGTCCTGGAGAACAGAATCGTCTAACAGCTCCCGTGGCCTTGGCATCTTCCACCCAACGTGCGGCTCACAGAGTCCTGGGAAGGTCCTCTGTAGCTGGAGTTAGTCTGGCTTCGATGCAGTAGCGAGGTAGCCTGGGGAGAAGGACCGTAGGTCTCCCCCAGCCTCTGGTGTCCTAGGGCTGAGAGCAGGAGGGGATGCGTGCTTGTGCCTACTGGGAGTGTGTGATGATATCTGTGAGAATGTGTGTGCCCGAGCATGCTCACGTGTATCTGGGAGCAGGGACGTGTGCCCAGGTGGAAATGCAGAAAATGGGTGTGTGAGAGACGATGTGTGCACCTTTTTTTCCCCGACCAAAAGCTTAATATATTTCTGTTTTCAGTTAATTCTTTAGCCTTTCTTGACTCCGTGATTCTTCCATTCCTTGAGGAGAAACAATTAAATGCGGTTCACTGTATACCCCGGATGGAATTGGAAGTGGTGCCTGGGGGCGAGGAGGAAGGATGATGGAGGTGCATGTGCTGGGGTTGCTGGGATGAGGCGGTTGTGGGGACAGCCGCATGGTTCTGAAGAAGCTGACAGAGGTCACACCACGACCAGATCGGCCTATGTCCCACCTGCTCACCTTCACATCTGTCCCCGTGGTCCCAGTCCCATTCCCAGGGACAGCCAGAGAAGGCTAACCCATCATCCCCACCTTATGGAGGGGAAGGCTGAGGGACGACAAGGTTTCTATCTGTGTGCCGGCTCTTGCATCAGGACCATAGGACAGCAAAAGAACATGGTGTCACAGGGGTGGGAAGTGATACGAGTTAGGAATTACTTATTCAGGCATTCATTTTTCAAGTATCGAATGTGTACCCGGCCTCCAGATCAGGCAGGAGGGAGAGGGTGGCCCTGAGAGGGACTCAGGGAGGCAGAATCTTTGCTTCATCTTGACACCTGGAGAAGGGTGTGGCTTTAGGTGGTGCCAGTCTCTCCTAGGAAGCCTGGGTTGGGAGCATTTGAATGGGGTGATGGGGAGGTCTGCTGAGCCTGGGGTGATGGACAAGTCCACTGAGCCCGGGTTGGCCTGGCCCCTCATGTTTTCTGCTACTTTGTGTCCCCTGTGTGTTTTCTTCCTGTGTGTCCCTGATGCTCTGCCGTTACAGTGGAAACCCCTGCACAGATAGCCTCCCGGATCCTTGCTCCATGTTGGCTCTTCCTGAGCCCTGCCAGCTACACTCTGAGTTCCAGTCCCCTCCTCTCTGACCTGGAGGCTTTCTCCTTCAGTTCCCAGATTCTGGCTCCCATACCACTAAGCTACCTGGTGACTTGATAAGACCAGTCACTGCTTTGAGTCTCCAGCTGTGGAAAGGACACCTGAGCCCTGTAGCCTGGACTACCAAGAATGTGGAGGGACGTTCTCTAGTCTCAACAACTCTGATGAGCTTCCGTGGCTCACTGGCCTGCACAGGCTGGGCTAGCTGGGCCTCTGGGATGGGCCAGGAGCGTACCCCAGCATGGACATTTGGCTTGCTCTATGTCTGTTCCTCATAAGGAACTTAGGCCACGGAGGGACTCTCTGAAAGACTCCTGTACCCTCTCACATGATGCCTGTGCCCAGGGCTTCCAGACACCAAGGCCTGGGTACTCAACAGGCAGTTTCTCTGGGACAGCCTCATCTGCATTTTGGGAAGCACCACCCTGAAGGTCCCAGGGCTCAGCTAGCAGGGAGAGAGAGCATGGAGGCTTTTAGGACAGTGACTGCCTCTCAGTCTGTCATGCAACAAAGGCAGTGGATTTGGGCTGGGCCTTAGTCTAGGTGCTAGGGAAAGAGCAGAGCTGAAAACAAAAGCTGCCAGCCTTGCTTTGCCGATGTTGTGTGATCCCGAGCCAATATAGATCTTGGGTCCTCCTCAGTGCAATGGAGATTTGACCCAGGTCCTTTCCAAGGACCCCAAACAGAATCAAATGGCTAGAGAAGCACCCACGAGTACTGCTTGTGCCTGGCACAGAGTGGCTACCAGGCTCCGAGTGTCCACGAGCTGTCTCACAGGGAGGTGAGGGTGGAGGGTTTAGGATCCCAGGGTGTGAATCAATGCCCCTCCCCACCAGCTCCCTGACTTGAAGAGACTCTAGCATCCTTGACTGTCCACTGGTGCCCCGTGCCATCTCACAAGATACCCGTGTCCAGGGCTTCCAGAGAGCCAAGGGCTGGGTACACACGGGGCAGGACCTGCTGGGCACATGTGGGTTTGGTGGAAGAGCCTTGGAGGCCAGCAAAGCCCTTTGAGGAGCCAGGATATGAGGCACGAGAAGGAGGGTGGAGGACAGCAAGAGGACAGGACTTTGGGAGGAGGAGAACTGAGTAGCCATGTTCAACGGCCTATTCTCTATTGCTTGGCTCACTCATGCACGTCTGAGTTCTTTTCACATTTAACGAAGCCACGCGGAAGGCAAAGTACACACCAGGTGCTGGGGATAAAATGGAAAATGCCCCGTGGCCCTTGGTAGTCAGCGCTTACTGTGTAGGGGAGGACCACAGGCATTAGAAAGAACTCCATGGAGATTTGAGCCAGGGCTAGAGAGTGGGAGAGCAGCCCTCTCCCCGAGATGCCAACAGCTCTGCAGCTCACATCCTTCAAGCCCCAAGTTCACAGGCTTTGGCTTCACTGACTCTGACTGGACACTCTACCTGCCCACGATCTATTACCGTGGTCAGGAACTCCATGCCCTGACAGGCCAGGCAGGCCTGGGACTCCGTTCATCCACAGAGTAGAGAGAAGTGGGTGCCAGGGGCATAAGGTCACGTAAGGACCGAGGAGCTAGGCAGTGGTCCCACCAAGAGGGGACTGTCACCACTTGCCAAGGCTGAGGACTTGGAGGGCAGAAGCCACAGATGTCCCTGCTGGGTGGGGATGGGGACCCTGTGTGACTCATTTTGCTTGGGGTTTCTAGCACCTGCCTTTCCACCTCAGGTTCTGGGGAGAGCAGGGGTAGACTCATGGGTTTTCCTTCTGTAAACCCCGGCCCTGGTTCATCTCTCATCTCCCCAAGTCTGCTACAGGTCTCCCCATAGCAACCACATTTTCCTTGTCTCTCTCCAATCTAGATTTGATGAATCCAAGGCTATGCACAAACCTCGGAAAAACAGAACCCAAGCAATGAGGGGTTTTTCTAAGGGAAACACATCCCCTCTAATTTTGCTTTTCTGAATTTCACATAGATGCACAGGACTAAAGAAATCAGTACTTTTATTTATTTATTTATTTTTAAGATTTATTTATTTATTATGGATACAACATTCCTTCCATGTATGCTTGCATGCCAGAAGAGGGCACCAGATCTCACTATAGATGGCTGTGAGCCACCATGTGGTTGCTGGGAACTGAACTCAGGACCTCTGGAAGAGCAGTCAGTGCTCTTAACCTCGAAGCCATCTCTCCAGCCCCAGTACATTTCTTTTCTTTTTAAGTTTGTCTTTCCTGGGGCTCCAGCTCTGGTGGGATCTCTTGGCCCTGGAGCACTTGGCTCACCCAGTTTCGGTGAAGAGTCCTGTTCTCACAAATGCAATTGGTCCATGGATTTGGTGGGGGGAGGGTGGTGGGCCTTGAGCGGGATTCTTTTGTGTGTCTCCTCTTTTTAATTGCATGGTTTTTTCCTGGACAAATAGCTTTTGCAAGGAAAGGGGTGAGTGCAGGGTTCCAGTCCCACATCTGTTGCAGATGCCCTAGAGATTAACACAAAAGAGGACAGGAACCTTGGGTCGGAGTGCAGTTGGCAAACGGCTTGCCTAGCTGCACTCAAAGCCCTGGGTTCATCTCTGGCACCGCACACAATCCGACTGTGATACCAAGTAAGTGCCATTCCAGTACTTGGGAGCTGGAGGCAGGAGGATTTGGAGTTGAAGGTCATGTGTAGCAACTTTGAGGCTGGGGGTAGAACTTGACCCACGGAGCAGAGACAGGAGTAAGACAGCCTTCCAGGTGTGGTGGGCACTGTGCTCTCTCTCTCTCTCACTGAGGTTCCTCCTACCCCAGGCTCAGAGAGGTCAAGCATTAACCTCCAAACTGCACAGCCGGAAGCCACACAAAGGTGATCTTAAAATTTCAGGGCCGGGAATTGCTATGGAGGATGTGGCCACCAGGTGGCACCATCAGCTCAGGAATGGGGCTGTCGTCCAGCAGCGGGAGAAACCCTTCAAGTGTGGTCTTTGAGTTGTGCTCCGTCCTGATAGAGGGAGGCAGGCACCTACCTGTAACGCCGCATCTTACCCTTTACTCCTGCTAGGGCTTCTGGGGGACAGTGCCATTTCTTCTCAAGGTATCATGGCTGTGGGTCTCCATCCAGCCAACGACTTCCCATCTCTCCCTGGCTCTAAGGGGTTCCTGGGATGGGAGTATCTGGTACCCCATCTGGTATCTCTTTGTATCTGGGATCTTCCCATACCACTGCAAGTTTAAGGCTTCCTCCCAAATGCTGAGGCGAGGTGAGGCCCAAGAAGCAGCACCCCGAAGGTGAACCTCATGTCTTCTGTCTTCCTTTGTTCTTCCGGGTCAATGACTGTGTCTTCAGGACACCTTCACTCTGAGGCAAACAGGGGTTTCTGAGGGACCCCACATTAGGTGGAGGAGCACTGACCTAAGTCCCAAGTCTTGGTGTGAGACATCACTGTACCTGAGGAGACTGAGAGACAGAGGAGCCTGCCCACTTTCTTCCCTGTCCCTTCAGTAGCGGTGACAGGAAGTGGTTTGTAAACAGCTACCGACAGTAGATTATAACCCACACTATATGGTAAAATGCATCCTGTATTTATATAGCCAGATGCAATCACACACAGCATAAATGTAACGGAAACACACACACAGATACACAACAGAAATAAATATAACGTTCGGTGTTACAGAACAGCCAGCTCATGCTGCCTTTCCATAAATAGTAATTAGTGAGTATAAACTGACGAATCTCTTCATACTTCCGCTTGCTGAACCATGCTCAAGGAAGCACTGATCTCATTGGTTCCCGAGACCCTCTGAGTGGGGTGTTCCTGTCTCGCAGGAGGGTCAGTGGGGCTCAAGGGGAAAAGGAACAAAGTAGAGGTGCTGAGATTTGAACCGTGCCTCTCAGCTTCCCTGTTTTGTTGCTGTTTCCCTATTGGCTCTGCCCCTGGGCCTGTCCCACTTGGCCACAACCAGAACGGGTGTCTTGCTGCTCACAGCCTCCCTCCTTCCTCCGGCCTCCCTGACTCCTTCTTCCCTGGCACCGCTGGAAGAGGGGCAGGTGGCCACCCCGGAGGGTTTCTAACTCTTCAGTATTAGATCACTCTGCGTGGTTTCCTGTGTTCATTCCAGGCAGGAGTCTCGGGAGAGCTGCTTCCTCTCCTTTCCCCTCCCTCTCCTGATGCAAACAGAGGCTCTGACTTCCAGGAACTGGAAGTATTGAAGTCCTT